TAAAGGGTTTCGCAGAACTCCGTGTCTTGATTGTGATTGAAGCTGTCAGTGTAAAATTGTAGAATAAATGTTGACTGTAAAAAGTCCATTTATCATTATACAAAAATCCAAATTTTTCTTTAGATGCTTTTTCATGATCTTGAAGATAAGTTAACATTCCATGAAGATTTACAAATTTATCATATTAAATAAGCTTAATTTGGTAGATGTTTACTGCCAAAAAACTTATATAAAAATAAGATGATGGGGTATGCATATGTATATATGATTGCCAACAAGACATCTCACAACTTAGATACCAAATGATGTACGGCCTTCAATAATGAGTTAAACCCTCACCGCATAGTAAGCTATAAAAGTCCCTGAAATAAAAAATGTAAAACAGACGAAAAAATAACTGCCTAATTCATGTACAAAACAATAAGCGAAAATCAGGTTTAATATACAGCAACAAATGACAACCACTGAAATACAGGCCCTTGACTTCTGACATTTATTAGTAGAATACTAAAAAATGAAGAAGACAAACATATTTTCAGAATTTTGGTTTGAAGTATGTCCAGTACACGATGTTTTGTCGATATTGTCAACACCGCAATATCGTGTCATTATTGTGTTAACATTGTATCCCATCTATATATATGTTATGTACATTTGTGTTTACATCGTTCTCATCATATACATCGCGAAGTTGACAATATCGTGTTCACATCGTCAACATCGTATTAATGTTGTGTACCAAGTCTATACCTTCGTGTTTACATCGTTCACATCGTATACATCGTGATGTTGACAATATCGTGTCAACATCGTGTTTATGTTGTATATAGAGTCTATACCTTTCTGTTTACATCGTTCACATCGTATACTTCGTGATGTTGACAACATCGTGTTTTCATCGTTCACATCGTCAATATCGTATTAATGTTGTGTAACAAGGGTATACCTTTGTGTTTACATCGTTCACATCGTATACATCGCAATGTTAATCATATTGTGTCAGCATCGTGTTTATGTTGTATATAGAGTCTGTACCTTTCTGTTTACATCGTTCACATCGTATACATCGCAATGTTAACAATATCGTGTCAATGTTGGCATGACACGGGTTATGTTCTGCTCATATATGTTATGACGGTATAATACTAAACCCCTAACAGGAGGGATTGTGCCTGATATTCATATGATGAAGACATAATCTTTCAATCAGTTTAATTGAGGTCTGGAGCTGGCATGTCAGTAACTGCTAGTAGTCTGTTGTTATTAATGTATTATTGTCATTTTGTTTATTTTCTTTTGTTTCCTATTCTGACATCAGACTCGGACTCCTCTTATACTGAGTTTTACTGTGCGTACTGTTGTGCGTTTGTTTTTTTTTTCTACATTGGCTAGAGGTATAGGGGGAGGGTTGAGATCTCAAAAAACATGTTTAACCCCGCCTCATTTTTGCGCCTGTCCCAAGTCAGGAGCTTCTGGCCTTTGTTAGTCTTGTATCATTTTTAAGTTTAGTTTCCTGTGTATAATTTGGAGTTTAGTATGGCGTCCATTATCACTGAACTACAACAATGTAGTATACATATTTGTTTAGGGGGCAGCTGAAGGACGCCTCCGGGTGCAGGAGTTTCTCGCTGCATTGAAGACCCATTGGTGGCCTTCGGGTTGTTGTCTCTTTGACACATTCCCCATTTCCATTCTTAATTTTATGTCATGTTTATATTGTAAACAAAGTCCATACCTTTATGTTTACATCGTTCACATCGTATGCATCGTGATGTTGACAATATTGTGTCAACATCGTGTTTATTTTGTATATAAAGTCTATACCTTTCTGTTTTCATCGTTCATAACGTATAAACCCTAAGCCGGTAATGTCACATTATATACCCTGTCCGAAACCCGAATTACACATAGATTACTGATTATCCCTGCATATTTTTTTTTACCAATATCAGGTATTTGTTAAACATTCACCACGGAGTATATAATATATATTCAGTACATGTTTATTATTTCTTAATATGCTGTGTAATTCTTTTAAATACAAGTTTTCCTTCTTCTCAAATATTTTTTTCTTCATTAATATTTTCAATAAAGTTTGTAGATTTCACGTATGCCGTTTGTAATTTTTTTAACAACAACAAAAACTGTAAAATCAACCTGATATTTTCCGCGTATGTGAAGGATTTTATAATTTGCTGTGAAAATAATTCTATCATATATTCAATAATTTGTAATTATAGCACTTTATGACATTAAGCAAGCATTGAAAGTGTAAAAAGCGTGGTTTTAAATTAAAAACATACTATTGATGGATACAAGTCAATTTTCCCTCTTGAGAGCCTCTTACATTCTTTAAGTGTTCTGTATAGCTTAAGACTACGTCACATAGTAACGTTTGCTATGATGACGTTGTTGATGTTCCAATTGGGGTAAAAAATGTAGTATATACCCCGGCAGTTTCCTGAATATATACTGACATCTCCGTGTTGTTATCCAATTACAAAAATTGACACATTTGTAATCCATAATATATCGTTAAAAAATTGTAATATATCGATGTAAACGATGTAAACATTTTATTACATTCCAAACATTATAAATAATGTTGACACCATATCGTAGACACTACAATGCAAACGATGTAAACACGATATTGATAATAAATTGTATGCATCGCGATGTTAACGATGACAACGATGTAAACAGTATGTAAGAGTTGTTACAATGTAAACGATGTTGACAATATATAGTGTTAACATTGTTGAAATCGCAATGTAAACGACGTAAACACGATATCTTTACAAAATTGAATACATCGCGATGTTAACGATGTCAACGCTGTGAACAATATATAAGACTTCATACAATGTAAACGATGTTGACACGATATCGTGTTAACATTGTAAATATCGCGATGTCGACAATAGTGTTTTAACATTGTGCACTGGACATGGATGGTTAATTCCGACGTTATCGTTTTTTTTCTTCATAGGCTTAACCTAAATATTGCCGACGCCACCAACGACGACGGATTATCACAATAAATGAGACACTTTCAATCAAATCACACTAAAGTTAAAAAGCACCAATTCTAAGAACTAAGAATTCTCCGATTTTTTTTAACGAGAATAATTATTTGAACATAAACGAATATCAATCTTCTATTTTTTTTATATAAATCTCGCAATGTCTTGAAAAAACAATTATTTGGAATATCTGTTTCACAGATGGCGACGGATGTGTTCCAATTATTGTAAACATCATCCATTTCTCTTTTTCTCGAATGTGACCTACCGAATTAGACTTATCCCCGAATTTGTACTTACAAGAACAACATGACCCGCGCCACACGTGAAACAGGATCTGCATACCCTTCCAGAGCACCGGAGATCATCTGTTGTATTTGGCGGGGTTTGTATTGCTCAGTCGTACCGATCTGTTGAGCTAGGCAAATTGCAACTGATTTGTTCTTATGTTGTGCTGTTACGCCACTGACACAGGTTCGGAGATGGTTGAGCGCTCACAAATATGTTTAACCCCATCAAACTGCTAATGTGTCTTTCCCAAGTCAGGAGCCTGTAGTTCAGAGGTTGGCATTGTTTCTTGTCTTTCATATTTGTTTTTCATATATTTTTGTTGGTTATAAATTATCCTTTAACTGTTTCACATTTTTGTGTAGCGGCCTTTTATAGCCGACTATACGATATGTTGAAGGCCATATGGTTGCAATTAATTGAACTCTGGTGAATAGTTGTCTCATTTGAAATCATACCACTTCTCCTAATTTTTATTAAGATTTCCGAGTTGTGTTTTGTAAACTATAACATTGTATATTCATTCATTTGATGTGTTTGAGCTTTTGATTTTGCCATTTGATTAGGGACTTTCCGTTTTGAATTTTCCTTGGAGTTCGGGTTTTTGTTATTTTACATTGTATGTATTTTTTTGCTGTTTTTCCTTTTTTGCCATGGTATCGTCAGTTCGTTATCGACTTATGAGTTTGAATATCACTTAGATATCTTTCACCTCTCTTTTGTAATACTGGAATAGATTTAACTTTACTATTTGTATGCACATCAGTTTGAAAAAATAGCGGAAGGAACCATTGGTCAGAGGATAATCATATTATGTTAGATTGTTTTTGCTTAGTGTACCTTTTCCCTTTTCCGAAAGCCAGAGTAAAAGGTCTGATTCCGCGATAGAAATTTTAATTAACCCTTAATCTGAATGAGAATCAAATTCGAAGTTTAGTTTGTAATCTACCTCAAAATGTGACTCAAATTCAAAGTTGCAGTTGAATTGTAACTGGATCTTTAAATGGGATTCGAACTCAAAGTTCTATTTGATATTCAATTCTAACTCGAATTTTAATTCTACTTATGCTTAAGTTTTAACTCGAACTCGAAGACTATTCCAAATTTAACTGGAACAGTAACCCGAACTTTAAATTAAACTCGAAATCGGTGGATAGCCACACTATATCGAGGCACATAAATGACATTATAGTATATCAGTTCAGGATGATACGTGAGGAAAATTGGTCTTTTACAAAGTATACAAATATATAACAACATATACTTCGTGCATAATGTGAAATGCATATCTTCCATACGGACACCTTTGGAATTCAGTTATTTATTCAATTTATTATTTTTTTGTTTTATCATTGTTTTCATTATTATTATTATTATTACATTTATTATTTCAGATGAATTTTGATTTGCTCTACCGGTGATATTTACTTTATTCGAACCTTCAAATTCGCTTATTTTTTTCAATTGTAAATAAAATTTACGAAGCCGTAAAAGTTTAACATGCTATGAAGAACTGTATAAAAGTACATAACCTTGAATCATTAACACTTCCGATTTTTTTTTAAATTTAAAAAAAAAATTTATTCTTTCATTTTAACCAATAGATTGAACTTTTTCCTTGACAATCCATTTTCCTTGATGTAATATACAATTGTTTTTATATTTATACATGATCATATACATCAGGTGATGTTGTACGTGTTGTATTGTTGAGCAGTAAGTTATGTTACATAATGAATCGTAGAAGGTAAGTCTGTATGTATGCTTGATAGCTTATGATAGTTAATGACAGCAAATTGGTTGCATACTAATTGAGCTCACACAACAGCACGTTGGAGGTGGAATTTTTAAGAGTTCATACACTAACTTGTTTGTGAAGGTAAAGTAAAGTATAATCATTAAAAATATATATATACATTCATCAACGATACTACGCTGATTATTTTGTACATCAGACGCCTTTTTTGGTTACAAAAGACTAATCAAATAAATAATGACGCTAAAATCAAGAAAGCAAAAAAAAAAAAAAAAACAGCGCGAATTTGTGATGCATAAAGGAACAAAAATTCCATAAGATTTTACCGAAACCCATACCGTGTAGTTGTCTATAAAAAGGCCCCGACATGAAAAAATATGAAGCAATTCAATGTTTTATATTGTTTAAGTTTTGTAAATGACTTATTTGTACAGATGATAATATAAATGATAAAAGAGGGACGAAAGATACCAGAGGAACAGTCAAACTCATAGATCGAAAACAAACAGACATTGTCATGGCCAAAAATAAAAAGACAAACAGACAAATAATAGAACATAGAAAACTAAAGACTAACCAACACGTACCCCACCAAAAACTGGGGGTGATCTCAGGTGCTCCGGAAGGGTAAGCAGATTCTGCTCCACATGTGGCACCCGTCGTGTTGCTTATGTTATTACAAATCCGGTAAATAGTCTTATTCGGTAGGTCACATTCGTGAAAAGAGAAAGGTACAAATGTATTGTAGTTACGACATAAGAAACATATCCGATATCATTTGATAATTCATGTCAACAAAGAAGTGCTGACTACGGGGATTTTGATAACTTCTAGGAGGTACCCTCCTGTACGGCCTTCAACAACAAGCAAAGCCCATACCGCATAGTCAGCTATAATAGGCCCCGAAATGACAAATGTAAAACAATTCAAACGAGAAAATTAACAGCCTAATTTATGTACACAAAAATGAACGAAACATTTTCAATTGTCTAACAATGTGCCTATAAAACAAGCACTACATGCATCATTAACATTTACTATTACTAGATAAAAGATGACTGGAAGCACAATTTATTCATATGCTGAAAAAAACTACAGTTTTTATTTCAGCAACCACAAAAAGACACAATGAAGTATACGGTGTTGATGGTGCTTCTTCTAATTATAATAACAGGTAATAACTAATGAATAATTTCACAAATATTTCAGTGCTTAACGGCAGACAATTAACAATTGTTCGATCTAGTTTATTACACGATATTGTCTTAGCAATGCACCTTCAGTCACTTAAACAATAGTTTGTCTTTATTTTCAACTGTCTAATCGTTCTTTCCCCTCTTTGTAATTGTATTATGATAAGTCGTCGTACTCATTGATTTCACTTATGAATTCAACAGATCTTCGGAGAAAATCACATCACTGGCATCAGTGTAACAAATATGTCTTGGATAATATTGATTGCGCTTTGACCATAAATTGCAAAACATTTAAAATATTAAAAATATTTATTAATTATCACTTATTCAATCCAATACATTAAATGATATGCTAAGCAAAACATGTGGTACTATGCAATTGATGTGATCACCTCGATATTTATTATACACTTACTTCGGCAGATTATTGGTTTGTGCCTAAATTAAAAACAATATGTTGTGTAAAATTGAACAATATCATTTAAATGTTTTTTTTTTTAACAACAAATAAGTATTCTTTATTCTAAAAATTACAATTTCACTTCACTGTCCAAGTTCCAATGAAGTATTTCTGTGAAATGCTTTCTGAGTATCAAGGAAAATACTCAGAATATAATAAAATATAAACATTATTTTTTCTATTATATCAATCTTTTTGAATTTATGAAAATTATATCTTAAGATACGGTGTTGTTTTCATTCATTACAATTCGTAGTTCTTTTAAAAGCATCATACACATCTAAGAATGTCAATTTTTGCTTCGAAACATAGTAGGACTTATAAATACAAAAAATCTAAAACTGTCAAAAAATAGTTAAAACAATAATACCCATGATCTGATATTTTGTATCCAGAAACTATATGTTTTGCTAATATCTTGTTTTGAAAATTGTATTTTACTAGAAGATAATTGGCTTTGTATATATTTTTGGTCTACTAAAATATTGTAGAGCATTTTATTGTTAATATCTTATGCTTCAATTTGTTTATTTCGCAATCTCAATTTATCCTTACATATATTGATTTTACTCTTAACGGAGGTTTCTTTTTAAAACGTGCTGCCATTCTTTTGGGATGAAAGATTGTAACACCTTAAACTCTGCAATCCAGTTTGACTTATTAATTAACTTTTCTAGAATAAAGCTTTCTGATAATTTTCCCTCACGATCCAATATGTTATTAATATAAACCAATCGACTTCTTAACCAGTTTTGGGAGAACAAGCTCTTGTTGCAATATTTTATGTATCTATTTCCCCAACCAATGTGTTTTCTTAATCCGAAAAGTGATCGGTAAATTTTGCTAAACTTCCTCCTGTTTTCACCCAACTTGAAAATACTTGTAAAAAAAACCGGTATGTTTCCAAGTTATTCTTTAGCAAAGTCTATCTACGAAAAGTCTTCGAATCTTATATGAGAAAGTTTGAATTTGCTAATTTTTTTTTTCACAATTGGAATTTGCTTAAAAGCTTACGTTTGCTATTTCTACTTGCCGTCAATGGGATCCGTACTCCTTCTTTGAAGTTTATTTTAGTGTGCCAATGCTTTTTTTAAACAGTTCAGTGGATATAATGGGACAATAGTGGTGTGTTTTTATTTAATGAATTTAATATTGATTTTAATTTACTTCATATGTATGAGCCTATCTTACTTTCGGGGCCTGTAATTCAGTGGCTATCGTTTGTTGGTGTATGTCATTTTATTTTTCGTTCATTGTTTTGTACATAAATCAGGCGGTCTCTTTTCCATTTGAATTATTTTGCTTTGACATTCTGAGGCGGCCTTTATACATATACTTGTTGAATTCCACATCATTTTTATCCGGTGGAGAATTGTCTCATTTAACCACATCTACTAATTCTTATTTTTATATATGACTATAGAACCTAAGCACCTGATATCACCCCCAGTTTTTGGTGGGGTTCGTTTTGCTCAGTCTTTAGTTTTCTATGTTGTGTTTTGTGTACTATTGTTTGTCTGTCGGTCTTTGTCTTTTGTAACCATGGCATTGTCAGTTTATTATCGACTTATGAGTTTGAATGTCCCTCTGGTATCTTTCGTCTCTCTTGTATCTGTAATTGTGCCAACGAAATATCCGTGCAGTTAAACAGTTTTAAAACAACTATTTTAAATTCAAATACTAATCAAACTAGTTCTACAAAAAGTTTAGCCATTGAAGTAGAAAAGACAAATTCAAAATCCAAATATAACGGAAAAGAAACAGTTTTATAAAACTTTAACCGTAATAAGTATCATACAACTTATCAGAGCTATTATACGACTATTTATAATAAATCTTATATTCACAACTATACTACATTGCAGCTCAGAAAGATCAGCTGACATTTAAAATCCCAATTAATTACATATATCTTTTTGGAGAACGCTTTCGTCTTTACAAAAGAAAAAAAAAAAAACATTTTTATTTGCGATTCATGACAAGGTTAAGGATAAAATTTGTATTTTGTTTTATTATTTGATATGTTATCAACAATATTAATTAGCTGAATTATCAAAGGCCTTGGTTTGATATGCATTTTTATCTATGTAATCCGTTGTAGGTTAACAGGAGTCGCGGAGAAAAACTTCCGATATTGGGATTTTATGGAAAGGAAAATATTTAAAAGACTCCTAACATATAAATTATTATATAAATTATATGTATTCATGATATTGTTTGATTGAGATTACATTTTGAGGGGTTAAAATCCACGGTTAACCGGACGGTATGTGAGAAAAACCAACATTTCGGATTGCGATATTTTTTTGTATGAGATTTCTTAAAATTAACAAAATATTCAGAAGTCTAACCTGACAATCTCCTTATTGTCGATTTAATTTCATTCTCATGACTTTTACGTGCTACAACGTTTCAAGAAATTATCTTTTTTTCCCATTTCAGACTGATATGATTAAACGAATCTATTTATTGACGAAACACAAAGACCTTGGTAGCTTATACTTACTATTTGAATAATTTCTAACCAAATACAAATTAGTAAAATGCTCCAATATTAATTAAAACCGCTGTCTATTTTTCTTCAAATTTTTAATGTAGTATAATTTTACTTTTAGATATTGTGTGTTCTCAACAATTTTGTATTTGTATTGCGATTTTTGATCCAGTGTGTTCCACATTTGGTGTGACTTTCAGTAATCAATGTCGATTGGAATGTGCGTAAGTATGTTTCCCTAAACGGACAACATGTCATATTCGTTTTAAGACCACTCACAGATTATTTACATACAATTAAAATCTTATTGAAATTTTCCTCCCTCAAACTGTTATTGATAGGCTGTAAAACACGTGAAGCGGTACTATATACTGATGCATTTATAAACAGCTTATAGTTGCTAGAGATCAATAATTATCCAGGATACTTTAGCAATGTTGTCTGAATAATATAAAACAGTTCAAGTTTAACTGCACCAGAAGCGCACTTCATCGTTGATATTACATTCCAAAATATGCGGAACTCAAAAATCTTAAATCAAACTCTGAAGAGCTAATATCAACACACAGGACCAAAAGTATAACTAATCCCGGAAACGGAATCAGAGTTTGTGTAAGAAGAAACATTTAGTAATTTCTAATCATTTCCCGAATTTCATTACTGCAAACTTTAAAAACATTATCCGTCTTCTCTAGCCAGTACCGAAGGAGTAAATTTATGACCTGCTTATCAACTTATGTAATAAATAAAGGCAACAGTAGTATACCGCTGTTCGAAATTCATAAATCGATTGAGAAAAAAACAAATCCGGATTACAAACTAAAACTGAGGGAAACACATCAAATATAAGAGGAGAACTACGACACAACAGAAATACAACATTAAAATGTAACACACACAAAAACAAACTATAATATAACAATGGCTATTTTCCTGATTTGGTACAGGACATTTTAAGAAAAAAATGGTGTGTTGAACCTGGTTTTGTGGCTAGCCAAACCTCCCGCTTGTTTGGCAATGTTAAATATAACATTAAAATGACAACATTAAATGACAGGTCTACAATCTGTAATAACAGATATAATAAGCAGAAGAGGTGTATGTAACTTGTATACTGTTATCATACTCTCCGAGATATAAGAAATTAAATATCTGTAAAATGGAAGTACAAGTGCATAGAATGTATTGAAATATCGCAATATCTATTGAAAATCTGTCCAACAATTTTTTTAATTGTATGTTATTGTCACTGAAATGTCCGTTCGATTAATTTAACATTTGTAGAGGGTAACCAATATTAGTTTTCTTTTAGCATAAATAATCATATATCCTGTACATTTAAATAAATTGCAGAAAAGGAAAGTAAGGGGGACATCATTGCTGCTAATTTAATAGACATTCATATGAAGTTTAAATTCTCTGGTTGCTTGCAAAACTTCATGAATGTCCGCTAGATGTCGTGTACCTGTTACCTAAACTGGTTTAATAGTTCGATAAAATACTAGTCCTAGTTAACGTTTTTCTGTTTTCCTAAATGTTATATCACGTGTTCCTTTAATCCAGTTTGAGTTGGAGTTAATTCCCTTTGGTCGCTATAATGAATGACCAACTGATAAATTTTCTTATCAGACAAAACCGAAAACTCGTGTTGTTCAGAATCGTTTTTTCTAAAGACTGGCGATCAGTATATCAAATCTTTTTTGTTTTATTTATGAAGGAACTAGTCCGCTTTACCTTTTAACATGTCGGATTAGAAAATAACTGTCCAACTCAAATTACGCCGATGAAAAACTATTTATACCGAAACACAGTTGCACTTTTCACATTCTTGTTCCGAACATATATATCCATGTTTTTACTATATTATTTTCTAGCTACTGTGTGTAGTTTTTACTGCTAAACTCTTAAACATCATTCTGCAAGCATTCGTCAGAACACACAGCACAGTTAATTATATAAAACTACCAATAACCAAAAAAATGTGTTATTGATTTTTGTATTACTGTTGCAATATAACGTTTAATATAATTACTGAGTGAACGATGTTTGATTTGACCAGAAAAATTCAATTTCAATGCATCTCAACGAAATAGTATGCTAAAGTATAGAACAGAGTTCTATGCCTTTAAAAAAAGTCTATGACACGTAGAAATCATTTGCTGATATATTTTAATTCTTATTTCAGTGGTCAATTTCTTGCCTGCCGTGGGGAATGCCCATGTATGTTTTAACATCTATGAGACAAAGGTAAGTTTGAATGGCATAGAATAAAGTTTTAAGAATTGTGCTGTATGTTGAAATGATTAATATAAGGTACCAAACCAACTGTGTCAAAAGAATATCAAACACTCAGTATGACAGACGGCAACACTAATATTGAACAAAATAATAAACAGGAAAGACGCATCCGAGCAGCAAACACTTAATACTTAATATTTGGCCAGTATGAACTAACATCATAAGTGGGAGTGATAACTCTATTCTAGTATAAATGTAACAGGAAAAGGTATGTTAAAGCCACTTTTAAAAATCTTTGCATTTAAAGATCACGCCGTTTTAATGTTTATAAGATTGAGAGTTGTGCTCCTTTTGTTCGCAATTTGTTAAAGCTGTCAGATATCAGAAATCTAAATGTTGCCTTCCATACTACCGTAACGACTTTCCATTTCTTGCTATAAGCGAAACTGGAACTGTAAAATCTGAAAGCATTGTCTCATTTGAAGATTTGTTTTCAATGTTTGGGGATGAACAACAGCTTTACAAAATATATAAATTGGCACAAGATGTCTTATAGTAAGATGTTTATGATCTTTTAAAGCATGTCTGGTATTCATAACCAACATTGAATACTAAGTAGTTGAAAGATTTTCATTCTTGTTAAATGCTTTATAATAACATGTCTTTAATGGCAATGACAGCCAACATAGTCTTTTTTGTTAATGAATATTGATCCAACTTTATTCATCATTAAAATTCAATAATTTTGAAAAGTGATCATTTTTCTAAAGTCCATAATTTAAACTTTTGTCCTACATATTCTTTGACCAGTGATAAAGTTATATTGTAAAAACAATATATAGCAAAGAAAAAATATCGAATTGGTTTTATAAAAAGGGATGCAAATTCAAAATTCATTAGTATAATTATGTAGAAATTAATATGTTTTTTTCAACGAAAATTAAATGTATTACGAGTAAATATTTTGTTATCTTGAAGGAACAGTTGCTGAAAAGTGATGCTTTACTATAAAAAAAGTAGCAGCCGATAATACTGCACCTTTATTTGAAAATGACAGTCTCTATACATATCTCTGATTTTTCTGTCCAGAAGCAAAAAGACTTGAACCAATTAAGGACGATTCTCTTAATATTAATCTAATATTGTTCAAGTTTTTTTTTGCAGATTAATTAAAATTTTAAAACTATTATACATTCAAACAATCCAACAAATACACTGTTCTTTTCTAAAAGGTAATTATTGTACATTTCTATTTCAGCATGTTCAGCTCCAAGTGATACTGGAACATATCTGAAATCTATCAAAAACAATAAATAAAATCAGTTAACATTATATAGCTTTCCCAAGACAATTATGTGTTGTTATCATTATGGAAATGATTTGATATTGAATGTATTATGATAACATTAAAAGCTATATAGACTTCGTATAAAATTTAGTCTAAAGAAGTTTTATCTACAACTTGAGGACATTAAATATATTTTCTTCTCTCACGTGACTTTCTTCCGTACTTCAACGACATCGTGCCACCTCCTGTTATACTATGTCGATCCCCTGAAACGACTAGACAAACTATGCTGTAAAGAAATAGTGTAGCTTATAATAATTGAATGATACATTTCCTGGTCGGCTTAATTTAGGTTCTATCACAGTACAGAATGGATGTATGGTGGCATGTACTTAATTGTACCAATATTATAAAATCTAAAAACGAATATTCTCGGATAGAAATATTTTATTCACATTTATACATGATATTCATTGTACAACTGATCACACTGTTGTGTACAGTTTCTATGTTTCTTTTTTAAATAAAAAAAAATATCGTACTAATTAGCAATTTTACAGTCTGATATAACAAATTCCTAATTGTACGCTACTCTTAAATCTAAACCACAAAAACAATAAAACTAACTTATAAACTAGTTGCTATACAGAAAACGATTTGAACTTTTCTTGACAAATTTTCTTAATTTATAGTAGAAGGTTTTTTGAACTGGCATAAGGACCAGTTAATTGAGAATCAAATTTTGTAGTATTACATTAAGAAGAGTGAGTCAATTTTACAAGGATTTTCATTTAAGGTTGCCCTACTGGACAGTCTAATGTCATGTTTTATGATAATCCCTTCTAGAACTTAAAAAAAAAAAATAATGATATTTACAGAATACTCTATATCAATATCTGTTTTCTTTCATACCTCGAGACTTAAATTTTAACACAAATATGTTACAACTTCATAACACTGTTATCTCATGTCTTTATATCAGAACAAAACAAAAACAAAAATACTTCGCAAACAATTTTACTGTAAAATTAAAAACTCTTTCACCTTAAGCTTGTCAGTTCTATAAAGCTCAAGGATGTTCAGAAGCACTTCGATTATCAATTGGCACACCTCTGAATGGAATAAGTGTAAACTAAACAACCCGTTTTGGAAAGCTGAAACTTCAGTATTTAACGGATATAGGACACCAGTGTGTAATACATAGTTACAAAAGAGGTATCGAAGTTATTTTGGTGAACCTAATTCGCATTTAGAATATCTATTTTTCGTGATGTTTCCTAAAACCAAATATAATAAATAAAAATACCAAACAGAATTAACAGAAACTTATATCATATAAAGAATACTAAACTAGCTAGGGAACACTTATTCATTTAAATCAAGGCAGAAGATGCCAAAAGAGTTTCGCTAACCTATAAGACCATGACAAACTTACAACGCCATGGCAAACACGACAGACTGAGCAACAAGAACCTCACATAAACCGAAGTGATCTCGAGTGTTCTGGAAGGGTAAGCAGATGCTGCTCCACATGTGGCACCCATCGTGTTTCTCATATAACTACAAACTTGATGAAATGTCTAAATCGGTGAAGTCACATTCGCTGAAAAGACGACGGAATTGTAGTGACGACAGCTGGAACATATATGTCGTCATCTGTTAAACAGATATTCCATAACTGCCAATCAACTCGTGAAGGCATCCGTAAAATTTTCGAAGTGATGAAAAAGAAGGACTAATCGACATAAACCCCACATAAACTGGAGTGATCTCAAGTGCTCTGGAAGGGTAAGCAGATTCTGCTTCACATGTGGCTCCCATCGTGTTGCCCATTTAACTCCAAAAATTTGATGAAATGTCTAAATTGCTGAGGTCACAATTGAGGAGAAGACGACGGAATTGTGATTACGACAACTGACACATATATGTCGTCATCTGCTAAACAGATATTTCATAACGGTCAACCAACTTGAAATGATGACTTCAATATTACCACTTGGAACCCTTAGATGAATAACTTTATAGTAAGCAGCAACCCTCTAGCAAGGAAAACGTGATAATAAATTCAAGCTCTCGAACATTGTTTCAACTTGGAGATATATACTCAATATACAGCCCTGCTGTAGTGTTGCTACATAGAAATGGAAATTTCACAATTAGGAAACTGAAATCAGATCTTTTGTCGTTAAGTTTTCTTCTGATCCGACCCTCATTGTCAATTTCTAGATTTAAATCAAAATATGAGGCAGTCGTTACTGTATCTGTTGTATCCTTTATTTCGAATTCGATGTGATAGATAGCACTGCGTTCAACATACTTTAACCTTGGAAGCTTTTCATCACCTAAATTTTAATACTTATCTATATTTGCTTGATTCACATCCATCCTAAATCATGTGGTTTTATCTTCAGAATATTATTATATGATAGTTGTAATTGCCATCAAACGATTAGAAGGTTTCTATAAATAACATTAATAGGTACAGATTCTACTGCACCAGATGCTCGTTTCAACCATTCTTTTAATTTCTTCAGTAATTCTTGGGGCCTGAATGTAAACCTTTAAGCGCAGATATAGCAAAAAAGAACCAAACATGTACATGAAGCTTAAGATAAAGAAGGAATCAACGATTTGCATGTTTGATTTAAATTCCAATACATTAACAGTAGTTATTATATGATCGTGTCGGACGATGTTACACAGTGCTTAAATTGTTTTCCGAAAAAAAAAACAGGAGGGAAATTATACTTTTCATTATATTTCTTATCAATGAACTTTAACCATTTTCCCATCTAAGTTGTAAGCAATCTAAGAAATAAAAAAGAGGCATAAGATACCACGGGAAAACTGGAGATTTCATTTTTTTTTGTTAATTATTTTTTTTATAACCATACATCGAAGAAAAAACATACAGAAACTTGGTTAAAAAGCAAACCGACGAAATCAAATGATGCAGAAAAAAAACTGAGCAACACGAATTCCGCATAAACCCGGGGTTATGGTAGAATGGTATGGGTAGGCATATCCTGTTCGAATAGTGGTTCCTACAGTTGTGTTGTACATGAAATGACAATCGGTCGTTGCCAATTCCTTTCCTTTGATTTTTCTACTCTTTGCAATACTGTTCCCCTTGCTCAATTAAAAGACATCTATGATGAGTTTATTTCCAATAGATACTTATTTTGCACGCTTACTGATATAAAGCATAATCCATTCAGAACCTTCTAATTGTAATCTTGGTATCTATGATGAGTTCACAAAAGTGCAAACGAAAAAAGCATCTTGCAAAGATTTTTGAATTCACTTTCAGATATATTGATGATGTTCTGTTCCTTAATCCATATTTTCAACGAGTGCTTATATCTCATATTTCCAAGTGAACTAGAGATTAGGAATTCTACTGTAAGTAGAAAGTCTGCTTCATATATTGGTTGTTTCCTCGATATTGACACAGATAAAAGACTTCAAACTAGAATCTGTGGCAAACGTGTTGATGTCAAATTTCCTATTGTCAACTTCCTATTTCTCAGCAGTAATTTGCCAGTAACATACCCTCTGCTCCGTTGTACAGAGTTTATATATCTAAGTTAATACATTTTTCTCGTTCATGTTCACGAAACACCGACTTCATTAACTGGGGTGTGATTCATACGTAAAATCTGCTGAAACATAGTAATGTGGAGAAAGACCTAATTCGACAATTCAAATGTATTATGCTCACCCTCACAAACTGGTGGACCGAAACATTATTTCGATGTCTCACCTCACTAGCGACATGTTTTCACGGTCTTAGATACCAGTATAGTCTTCTGATTTGTAATTTCACCGATTGTTTCAATTTCCGATTTCGACATTTTGACTTAGTGTTAGATCGCATGGTGGATGATGCATACAAAGCTGGAACCGCTTACCCTGTCAACGCACCCGTTGTCGCTCCTTTTGAACTTCATGCGATGCCCTGAGTTTTTGTTTCTTTTTCGGATTTTCTCGTTTTGATCGATTAACGTGATTTGAACATTGCTAAACTATTGTTGCCTTAATGTACAGCCATTTATCATTAAAAAACGCTTACTTGAATTATGACTATACATGAGATTAAGAGATATTTTATAATTGTAAATGTCTTGATCGCTTGATTTTTCAGAATTCCTACAAATTTCACGGTAAAAACTCTTATTCAAATATTATTTAACAAAGACGTACTATGCTTGTCGTGACTTTTTGACAAACAAAAATGTTTTGCTGGCTATGAACATTTACAATTGTACAATTATATTTTGTATGACGTTTTGATATTACATAACGCGTTTGTATGTCGGAATTGTTGCTGATGTCCGAATATTGTCTGATGTGTGGATGTCGGAATGTCTTCAGCAGTATAGTATTGACTTTTACAAAATTTGTAATGTGTTTAATGACAACATGTTAGATTATTAAAAGATGCAAACACATTGCTTTAGAGACAAAAGTTACATTCAGATATCATGGATGAATTTATAGTACTATCTAGAAACATTCAGATAGAATACAACATTTATTGTTGCACAACATATCTGTTCAAGCCATTTGCAAAGATAATACCATGTAATTTTCTTATAGATTAATTTTCAGTTAAAGAACCATTAAGGTTTATGACTAGTGTCGGGCGAGGTTGTAGTTTATAATAGATATGATTATAAATAAAGCCATGCTATGATCTTAATTTCAAATGCCAAAAACTAAGCGAAATCCACGTTGAACTGAATATTCATTCTAAAAAGAAATAAAACAAGAACAATGATAGAGGTACTGCTTGTGGACTATCAGTCCCCGGGAGTATCATCAGCTCAGTAGTACGTATTTCGGTACTGACATGATTTATAAAAAACCTTCATTAAATTGTCCGTTTCTAGATTTTAAAATTGATTAGAAGGTTTCAACTCTAAGGCAAAGTTGACCTTAGATGGATGTGGCTATTATCTTTATGTTCTTTTTGGTCATATAGCTCTTTATCTGTTCTGGTTCTAATACATCGGTGGCTTTCAAATATTCGGCATTGAGAATTTCTGATGAAGGTGATTCCA